CAAATATCTGTATTCATGCGTTTTAAGTGCCCTATTCAATGATCAATTCAACTAATTTAGTTAGGTAATTTTATCGATTCGAGGGAAAATCACCGTCACAAGTTTTCGGGAGCGGTTTCGGTGATTACTACAAAAGTAGTAATCGTTGTGGCTACTAAGGGTATGAATGGTGTTCTGGTGCTTATTGTTTTGGCAATGATGCTATGTTTTATTGGTAGTGTGTACATTGGTATTGGTGTATATCTGTTTTGATGGATTGGTATTCAATATTGAAATTGAGTTGGATGCGGAGTGTCTGCATAATGGTTGTAGGATGTGCATGGTTTGATATTGGTTGAGTATCAACACCATTAAAATGAATTGTTTTGCATGTCCCTGTGTTTTAATAGTATTATTATTGTCTGTAGTTATGTGTTGGTAGACATATTGTTGATGCCGGTCTTAATCAGACGTAATAGGAGTATGATTTATACATATCTTTATCGGTATATATGTTTGGTTTGATAGGTATTGGTGTGGTCATACGTTGTTCAGCCGAACTAATACCGTTGCAACAACAAACAATAAATCAATATCAATCCATTAGAAAAACGCTACCATTGCACAAAACACCAATACCATTTGAGAAATAAAAACACTATCATTTCACAAAAGACCAATATCATTGCAGATTTAATCAATACCAATACATGCAAATCAATACCAATACAGAAAAACAATACCAATGCGAAAACACTACCACAACGAAAAAAATCACTACCCTTTCAAAAAATACAAACTAATCCTTCTACTCTCTTCACGTCAAATCTTCAATCAATCTTCTTCCTCCCAAATCACAACACAATTATCTTGTCAATATAATCAATAGGGTAGCAAAAAAAACCCAGAAGCAATAAAACAGAATTAAACAACTTACACACTTCTAGTTCCCTCCAATGAAGAACTGCAACCAATACCATTGCACGTATAACAATGAACACTACCATTCCATGCGGTAGATCACTACCAATGCATGCCAGTCTTAACAAAATCGTACACACATACCATTGCAAGGTAAAAAAAATACAGTGCAACTCATCTTGATCACTACCATTACAAGATCAAATAACATACCAATCCACCAAAAGATCACTACCATTGAAAGATCACTGTCTATCTGGGTAGATAACTACAAAAATGGTAGATCCCTACCATTGAATACAAATATCAATTTCTTTGCTTTTTGGTTTTGCGCTTCGCCTCTGCTCTGCTTCTCGCTTTGTTACCTTTCATGTATGTATATATATAATCCATGGCGCCCACTACCCCTCCATCTCACCCTTCTACCACAGGCGTCTCTGAGTGAGAGAGAGTGTGTACGTGGGCACCGGGCCGGGCCGCCCACGGGCTAGCACGGCACGACACGGTTAGAGCACGACACGAGTACAGGCACAAAATAAATGCGCCAACCCGGCACGAGCACAAATAATTTATGGGCCGTGCCGGACCTAAACTTCATGGGCACGACACGAGCACAGGCACGACACGGTATATAAGTGGGTCGTGTTGGGCCTAATATTTTTGAAATTTTATTGAGTATAAGAACGGATATGGCACAAAAATAATATTTATTTGATAGAAAATAGATATAAAAAGAATTATAGGTTTAAATATTACAAAATACAAATAGAAAAATAATTATTTGTTGTTGGTAGAAGTGTCATAAAGATATATACGTAATTGCTACCATAAGTAAAAATGGACGAAGAATTAAAACAAAACCAAATCACACCCGCTATACTTCCAATTTTCTTTTTCCCCTTATTTGTTACTTTTCTCAAACATTATCGGTTAAATCTATCTTTCTTCATCCAATTTTCACATTCTTTTTCATTCTCTCTTTTATTTTCTTCCTTTTCATTGGACACGAATACGAGCACGACACGAGCATGAATAGGCAAGACACGATTCCAACCGTGCTCGGGCCTAGGTCGGACCTAGCAAAGTTAACAAATTGGCTTTCACGGTACGACACGAAATAAATGGGCCTGAAGCGTTCCCGTGCCGTGCCGGCCTAAGCACGATCCAGCGCCCATGTACGAGAGAGAGAGAGAGAGAGAGAGAGAGAGAGAGAGAGAGGTGGTCGGGGGTAGCCGAAGAGGAGGTTCAGGCTGTAGGCGTCGTTGTCCTCGAGGGTGGCCGAGGGGAGGGTGGCCGGCTGTAGGCGTCGTCGTCGTCGAGCAGCGGTGGTTAGGGGTAGCCGGAGAGGAGGGTCCGGCTGTAGACGTCATCGTCGTCGGAGGTGGCTGAGGGGAGGGTGGCCGGCTGTAGGGAGGGGCTGGTGTAGTCGATCGACAGGATTAGTGAAATGGAGTGGTGGAGGCGGCTGTGGCGGGTTTGGCTGGAGAGAGGGTAGAACTAGGGTTTGGGTAGATTATATAGAATAATCGGGTGTGGTCATTTTTCATTCCCATAATTACCCTAAAAGAATCTTGACCGTAAGATTAAAAAAGAAGGGAAAATATGAAATCTAATGGTATATAAAAAGGTTGCCACTAGTAATCACCCTAACCATTCCCAAGTTTTCACCTACCCCAAATTCAACTCGACAATTTTTTTGCATTGCTAGGAGGCTGCAGCTGAGAAAAAGAAAGCGGGGTTAGACCATCTCCATCCCATTGCTTATACCTATTGCTTATTTAGTGGGATCCTAGGTGGCACCACTTTTAAGCAATTGCAAGGATGTGGAGGTGCTTTCTTATTTAGCAAGATTTTTTTATTTTTATTTCTGAGTGATATCAATAGAGGAAAATAGTTAAACTTACAATTTTACCCAGGACCCCTAAAAGACTATAAAGAAGCCACCCCAAAAAATCAAATGATTCTAGCTCTAAACGAGACAAAAGTAGTGGTTTACGCGTCACCCTATGGGCAGCACTGTTGGCGGATCTAGGTAGTGTCAATCGGGCGGGTTCGGGTTGGGTTCAATCGGGTTCGGGTTCAAACGGGTTACGGGTTAGTCGGGTTGCGGGTTAGTCGGGATCGGGTTCATCGGGTTTGGGTTCAAACGGGTTGCGGGTTAGTCGGGTTACGGGTTCATCGGGTTCGGGTTCAATCGGGTTGCGGGTTCACCGGGTTCGGGTTCATCGGGTTTTGGGTCGGGCGGGTTGCGGGCGGATCGGGTTTCGGGTGTTCGGGCCAGCGCATTGAATAACTTACTCTTTACTCGTTACCAACTTACACATTTTATACACTAATTTAAAATATTTTTCTGAACTTTTTAACCAATTTATTTCTACCTCGTATATATATACTTAATTTTTTTGAAAAAAACTAGTCAAAATGTTAAATCAATTTGTATGACTTGCAAACTTGTTATGTAATTAATCATAATTGGTAAAGTACACTAGCTAATAGTAATGGTGGTATTAATATTTGCAACCAAAAGACACCATTAATTGTTTATTTGATATTTTAGTATTGATTCAGTAGTAATTTGATTAAAGTATCTCGTTTAGTATAACCATGCAAATCTGCTATTTGGCTTGTGGTATTTGGCAAAAGCAGAGTGATAAAAGGAGTTATTTCGAAATAACTCATTGCCCAAATAACTTCAGTAAACTGTTGCCAAACGAGTTATTTGTAAAATTGTTCGAATTATCCTAAAAATTGAACCATTAAAGATTAACTATCAAATTTAGTAAAATTATTGTGACTTCAATCATAACTTAGTCAATAACATATATCCTATACACTTAGCCTTACCCTCAATCGACAATATTAAGTTAGTATATGTTGTTGATTGTATACCCTAAACAATCAATACATTATACACTAACCACATACCCTATACCCCATACCCTAACCATATGTCATTGAGTTGTGATTTTGCTAGTATAGTTAATTTAAAAGTGAAATTCATACTTTGATTTTCAAAACATAGATAAAAAGTGACATTTGCTAATTGCTATACCCTAACCATATATCCTATACTCTACACCACATACATTGTACCCTAAGCACGTACCATAAACATAAATTAAAAAGGGATCTCCTGTCGTTAAAGATTTCAAATGACTTCAAGTGAGCATATGTTAATAAAAAACTTAGAACCGTCAAAACCATCAATATCTTATACAATAACCATATACACTCTAAACCATTTGTACCTTATACCCTATACCTTAACCATATACTTTATACCATAAACAACGAACCGTCAAAGATTAATTATCAAGTTTAGTATAATTGTTGTCACTAATGATAAATTCACTTAATAGAACAAATTATAAACGTTCATAAATCTCTATACCCAAATTATCTAAAATCTCTATAGACTAAGTCCCTATATCCTTTACAACTTTAAATGAAACAAATATGGTTATAAAATATTTTATTCTATCAAAATTGTAAACAAGAAAAAGAATTATGTGAATCATAACTATATTAAATTTATGTCTAAATTTTAAGCCGGAGAATGCATTAGATTAGGTGGACCTTAAGAGAAAAATATGGCGAAATATCTTAATTTTCTCATAAATATGGTTATATACGACATAAGTATTTGTTTGGATTTGAACTCATATCAATAATTGGAACACGGGTTGGGTTGGGTTCTACGGGTTGTGTAATCCAAAATCCAAACCCAACCCAAAAAAGGCGGGTTGTACAAAAGAAAATTCTCACTCAACCCAAAACCTTCGTTTTAGCGATAAATACGGATGGGTTGGGTCGGATTGAACGGTTGGGTCAGTTTGCGGGTGTGTTTGTTCACCCCTACATAAGACTACTAATAGTAATAGTATATATTTTTTTGGCTCTAAAAATTTGGGAGGGAAATATCCCTCCAACTTTTTTGCCAAGCCAAAATTTAAGGATAGAAAAATTCCCTCCCACCAACATGTTTGACCGACTTATTTTTTGGCTCCCGAAAAATTTCAAAGTGCCCGCCTTGCTGAAAATTTCAACAACGAAGATCCACCCTTCCTTATCACATTCCTCTCCCTCTCTCCACTACAGCAGCCTCTATCTCTATCTTATTTTTTTCTTCCTTCTGTTCATCTTCTTCTTTCTCTTTTCTGTCCAATCAAAGTGACGGAGATCGACGACGGCACAGTCAACGGCCGCTGCTCCAACTTTCTGTGTTCCCCTTATCCTCTTCTCTTCTCCTTTCCCTCGATCTCTCCGAAAGAGGCAATCGAAAGAATGAAATTTGCTTCCTCTCACTCTCCCTTTTGTTTTGTAAAACCCTCTTCTTATCCCCTCTCCTCGCGGTCATACCTTCTCGATCGCGCCCTTCTGTCCCCAAGCTGCTGTTGCCAAGCTTCCCCAAATCAAAGAAGGGATTAAAAATCCCTGTCCTCGCCATCGTGCTTCACGAAGACCTGCTCTTCTCCCATCGGTCTGTCTCCAACTTTTTGCGCTCAGGTCCAATCGCCGCCCAGACTCCCTTTCCCCGTCCAGATCCAATCGCTCGGATCTAATCCCCGCCACGTATCCTGTTCTTCGTCGATCTGCCGCTTCTCTGCTCTCCTCGGTTCAGAGACAAAAAAGTTGCGGCAGTGATTGAGAAAACCGACGACAATGGCGACGTTTCAATTAGGGCTGTTTGATTTTGTGGGTTGGGTTTGTGGGTGTGGGTGGCGACATCTAAATTAGGGTTGCTTTAATTTATCTGCATTTTCATTGTTCTTATTGTTTCTTTGCTCTGTTTCAAATAAAGTTGCCTTGTGAAGTTATACGACTTCGTTACTGTATTTGTAAGGCTAAACCTGAAAGCAATGTTGTTAGAACCGAACCGGAGCATGACCCGGTAATGCGAACGGCTCGTACTTTAATGGTCCAACCGGCATTAGACCGTTCAAAAACCGTTAGAGAATCGGTACCTAATAAACGTTATCAGTATAAATAGTGGACATTTCTCAATCAGAGCTCATCTCTTTCCTTCGAAATTGTGAAATGGAAATAAGGATTCAATTTGAGAGCCCGACGTTTTTTGTTTTTTTCAATTTTCAATTTTCTACGATTTTTTTAATTAAATTTAGTGGTTGAATGGCAAAAACCGAATGAGCGGCTCGAACGGCTAACCGCTCGAATTTGTTTCCTTCTTTCTTTTCACAAAAATACTAAAATTTCCCTCCTTCTTTCTCCTTTCATACATTAGAAAAACTCAATTTTCCCTACTCTTCTCTTCCATAAAATTGAAGAACCAAATTACCCTCTTCTTTCCTTCTACAAAAAGTTGAAAAGTCAAAAATTTACCTCTTTATTTCTCTTTCATAATCAAAAGAATCAAACTTTCTCATTTCTTTCTCTTCCCACATATTAAAACCACCAAAATTCCCACTTGTTTCTTTTCTAAAAAATTCAAAGAACCAAATTTCTCTCTTCTTTCTCTTCCAAAAAACTTGAATACACAAAAATTTTCCTCTTCTCTTAAAAACATCAAATTACCAAATACATTACTTTACTTTATTTAATTGATAATTTATTGAATAGTTAAATTAACCAAAAATTTAATTTATATATTATATTAATATTGTCATGATCTCAAGTGACCTTCATGTTTCAATTTTTGTAATTTTCTTAAAATACGTAATATCAAGTGAGTTTCATATTTTTAAAATTTCTTATACGAAATGAAAAAATAATTTTACTTAAGTTTAGAATGAAAAACTTTATTTTGAAAAACTATGTATTGTATATTTTTCTAATTATTCAAGTGGATTAGATGAAATTCGGGTTGAGTCGGTCGGGTTACGGGTTAGTCGGGTTCGGGTCAATCGGGTTCGGGTTAATTGGGTTGCGGGTCAATCGGGTTCGGGTTAATCGGGTTGCGGGTTAGTCGGGTTGTGGGTTAGTTGGGTTGCGGGTCAATCGGGTTGCGGGTCGGGCGGGTTACGGGTTGTTGACTTTTAGTCAATTCGGGTTGCGGTCGGGTTGCGGGTCGGGTTGATCGGGCGGGTTAATCGGGTCGGGCTATGTTTTGACACCTACCGCCCTAAACTCTATACAAACAGACAAATAGCTAAGGATCTGAAGACACTCTCGTAACACCGGACCACCAATCGAGTCTTCTATGACGCTTTGACGGACTTGTTTGACGACCACTTCAGAATCACCTTCGACTATCACGTGGGTCAAGGATCTTGAGACAACGATGGAGATAGCGTCGCTAAAGGCTAGAAGCTCTGTCAGGTAAGGATTTACTATTCCTTGATGCTGCAACCCGAACGCCAACACCGCATGCCCGTCTGACCCACGGATAGCCCAGTCGAACACCCGGTGGTACAAACAACAGCGTCAAAGTTGCTCTTCAAAAAGTCTTCTGGCGGAGGGACCCAAGTGGTGGCAGGATGGTTTGGGAGTAGAGAGCTGCGGGGTGGAGGAGGAAGGAGAATATTGGAGACTTCGAGGATATCTTTTATTTTTCAATTACTTTTTCTTTCTTTGTTATGTGGTAAGAAATTGTATGGGTCCATTATTGGCAATTGCTCATTGGTTTTAGGGATGTAGGGGTTTGGAAATTATTGAATGAGATTTTTGCTTGATTGATGATGTGGCGATAAAGGCCCACTTTAGAAATTGCTTATTGATTGCAGGGATGAAGATGGTCTTACAGCCTTACAGGAGATTAAGAGAAGAAAGGAATTTGAATCGCAACACAGCATTCAAAAGTAGTACCAATGTAATCATCTCGAAGTAATACCACTAGTCAGGGAGTGTTTTAGCAAGCTCATGTACATTATAGGGGATTCAACTCGACAATTAACCAATTGAGATTTCACTTGTTTATTAAATCCTTAATTCGTATTTGACACGATCTGCATTTATCTACTCAACCTTGACTAGTGCGCACTGCGCAGATATCATCTGCTCTATTTAATGATCAATTCAAATTATTCTGGCAGGAAATTGACGTAACCAATGTCACCAAAGAGACGATATCGACCATTTTAGTGAAGTAAACATCTGACAATCGAGAAACATATGCGAAAAGATCTAGTTGAGTATATTTGGATTGAAACCGCAAACCATAATCATATAACTCGACATAGCAAAAGAACTCCAATGGATCACAGACTCCAAACCACTCACAGCGTTTCAAACTCAAAAGGATCCTACAGTCGGGAACAAAAATATGCCAACAAACAACGCTGCAAAGCAAAGATCAACGGTAGCGGCGCAGAGAAAGTGTGTTGTTCCTCTTCCAGGTTGCCCTCCTCGATGGCTTGTTCTTGTGGTACAAGTGACCCTTTCCTCTGAGACCTCTGTACTTCTTTCCTGCAGAAGTGAGACCACGAAGCTCCCTGTGCTTGTGGACTGGGTTGCATATCCAGTTGATCCTCGGGTCGTTGCGGATTGCATTGTGTGCAGCATCAACTAGGATCACTTCAAAGTACTTGTATGTCGAATCCTGCATTCATTCAATCATAGTGAGGAAAGGACAGAAAACTAAACCAAAATAGAGTAAAACAGAGGCAGATTTCATAACCATACATAGCCCAACCAAGGCTTCTAAAACAGCACCATGAATGAGTGCGATCAAATCAAGATAAAGCTAACTAACAGGGAACCTAGTTCATTGCTCTGTTGAATATAAGTCGCAACGAAGTTGAATGTAAGTGTCCAACTGGATATACCTCGTTGATCCAGTAGGAATTGAGAACCTTGAGTCCACCTAGCTTCCGCCCAGCACGTTCCTCTGCGACCGATCGCTTGCTACGCTGGAACTTGAGCTGAGTCACACCCTGGTTTGTGGGCTTCCCATACACAATACCCTTAGGAACTGGCCTCTTCCTTCCACCACGTCTCACACGCACTCGATAAACTACGTAACCCTGCAATCAATTCACAGAACCACTACTGAGACACACGAAATTTGCACAAAACCAAAGCAAGGCGAACAGAAGATAAAGCAGCCATCGATACACAAAGCCGAGACCCAAAAAAATGAAGTTACCTGCTTGGCCTTGTAACCCAAGCGACGAGCCTTGTCAGGGCGAGTCGGGTGAGTGACTCGGACGATCGACGGATGCTGGCGATACTCCCAGCACCTAACCCTCTGTAGAAACCTCATCACATCCGACTGCTTCTTCCTCCATAGCTCCGAAACGTACTTGTAAGCCCCTATTTTCACACACCCACAGAGAAGAAATCAAAGCCAATCACTAGGTTAAATTTCCCACCATCTCCATCAACGAGAACTAACTGCACATATTCCACTAAAACGCCAGAAAACCACCAGATCCGATTATACATTTCCCACAAACGGCAATCGGATTGGAGAAAATTCACATCATCAGGCACTTAACGGAGAAATTAAGAAGGCGAGAGAGAGAGAGGGAACAGAAAACGAAGGCTCACCCATCTCGGCGCGCTGCTCCTGCTGTTGCTCGTTCGGCTGGGGAAGAAAGGGGAGTGACGGTGGCGAGAGATTGAAAATATATCTACGATTAGGGTTTCTGTGAAATGGACCGCCCAAATCCTTAACGGGCTTCTGGCCTATTAAAACTGCAGTTTATTAACATAACGGCCCAGAGCCCAATCAAGCATGAAGATGATGGTTGCCTATAGGGCTGGCTATTTGGTCCGGGTTTTTTGGTTTTATCTGAAACCGGACCGTATAACCCGGACTGAGATCGGACCAGGACTGGATAGTAAACAATCCAATCCAATTTTCGAGCTTAGATTTGAGGTATAAAAACCCGTTCGGGATCGGATCGAAAACTGGTTAAAGACCGGATAAGAGAACTCAACACCCAAAACTTAACGGTAATTTGCATAAACGGTCACAAACATTTGCACTTAGTACGAAACTTAACCAACTCCTTACCCTTTCAGGCCTTAGGCCACTCAAATCCCCACAAGCTCAATATAAAATCAAGACCCAATTGGGTCGGACCGGATCAAGACCGAACTATATCCAATCCAATCTTTGGTACTTATATTTTTAAAAAGACCAGACTAGACAGGATCAATTTGGGCCAATTTAACCGGACTTGACCGTATAGACACCCCTAATTGCCTACCCTCTCAATAGTAGTTGAGCGGAGTCGGGTTTTGACCTAACTTACATACCACTTATTTACAAAACTTTGATTTGTGTTTAATTTGACTTTGATTTGAGATCGGCTCGGTAATAAGTCAATGAGCTCTATTTGATTTTGACTTATTAATTAGCTTGCACGATCGACTCGAGCTCAAATATGATATGATTTTGTTCACAAATTTTAATTGTTGATACCAAGTTATTTAATAGTAATTATTATTTGAGTTGTTCATAATACATCATTTTTCTTTTAAATTATAATTCAGACATATTTGATCACGTGGTCAAATTCTAAAACATTATATAATTGAGATATATAATGTAGGGATGTCAATGGGTCAGGGTTCGGGTCGGATAGTGCATCTCCACTGCCCTACTAAAATGGTTTGAGTTTTACCCAGTCTCATAAAAGAATCGGGCAGAATATCAAAATCATATTCATGTCTGTTCGAATTTCTGATATTCATCGTTAACCATCGATGATATTTTCTCTTTATGATTTCCAACAGCATATTAACAATTTCGCATATGCTTAAATAAGATATGTGAAATAAAAACAATAAATTACTTAAATGTTGAAAAGAAGCTATAACAATAAAATTCATAATAAATATTATATATGTAGGACAAAAAATCAACTATATTGAGAAAAATAATGATTAATTTTAAATAAAATACATATGTATGTTTATAAATATAATTGAACGGGGTTCGAGTTGGATAGTGAGAAATCATGCCCACCTCATCACATACAATATTCGGGTTATGATTTAAAAAATTTCAGGTTCGGATTTTACCTACCCAATTAAGTTAGATATTTGCATAAATTGCTAGTTGAAATGACTTACTAGCCATACCACCATATATACTATCGAGCTTACTCATAACTCGTTCTAACTCACGAGTTGAAATTTAGCTCATTTGCAGGCCTGCTCCAAGCGCTCCAAGCGGTGGTTGCGGCTGCATGATAACCCCAAAAGTGCCGCAAACTGTAACCAATCGGATCCCCCGGAATCTGGAATCGGGCATTTCGAGAGAAGGATTTCTGTGTGCGTCCCTTTGAGTGGCCTCGTGAAGATCACCATGGAACTCTTCTCCAAAACTCCAAAGGGGATAAGAAAGAGAACCGGGTCTATAAATACTGCCGAAAAATAGGTTATAAATAAAACAAAAGAACTGTAAACGCAGTTGAGGTTACGGAGAAATAGATAAGAGGGGGCAGAGGTCAGTTACCGGCGCTGAGGGGGAAACGATAAGTATGTTTTTGGGTGGAGGCAGAGGGATGGGCGGGATTGGCGGCGGCGGAGTTAGCGGCGGCGGCGGGGGGAACATGATGAGAGGTCTTGGGAGAGCGGTTACTCGGGCTGGAGTGGCCGGTGACCCGATTTCACCGACGTCCGCTCCTAATTCCCCTGCTCCAGCGGCGGCCGCGGCGAGCCCGTCCTCCAGGCAGGCCCGGAAGCCGTCGGCTTCCGGATCCGGATCCGGGTCGGGTCTTACTCTATCGGCCGGTCCCTTCGGAGCGCTTCCGATTGGCTGGACTACCTCGCCTTTGGCTGCTCCCTACGGCTCCCCGTTCGACGAGTACGGCAGGGATTGGGAGTGGGTTTCCGCCGACGGGAGCTCTTCCGACGACAAGGACGTTATCTATGGGTTGGCCGACGAGTACTTGGCACTTGGCCCGCCGCCGTCCGCTGATGAAGTTCACACTGCTGTCAATGAACTCTCCCAGTTAGTTATTGGTTAAACCGCTGTCCCATCTCGATTCAATAATCGGGTTCGATTCGATGAATTTTTTTTTCTTCTTCTAATTCGTGTTGTGTAGGTTTCTTGGTGCTGGACGGTACAAGAGTCTAATTCGTGATAGGTATGGGAACGAGAGGATGGACGACGAGATATGGTGGAGCCCTAAGTTTGCTTCTTCTTCAATTGGATTAGAGCTGGACTGGAAGGAGCCATCTCCAAACCTCACAGGAATCTCTCGGCCTTATTATGGGACTGATGCAGTTTACAGGGCATTCCATTTGCTGCAGAGTGATCAATCCGTTCAGGTCAGTACTAGGGTTTCTATGGGTTTGTTTGTTTGTTTTGGTTGGTTGGTTCCAACTCTTTTCTTGTTGTACTAGGTGGGTTTTTATCCAAATGCAATTTGCTACAGGGCACTGTAAATTCTCTACTGTTTTACTGTTGGGTTTCTGTGCAGAGAATGGTGACTTCTTTGTCTTCTGATGCTGCCATATGGGATGCTGTTATGAACAACGAGGTGGTTCGGGAGCTGAGACAGGCTTATGATCGAGGTAGGCAATCAAAGCTGAAAAGAAGCAGGGGAATTGGTGTGCTACTGTTGCTAGAATCTGATTACTGAAATTGGCGATTCTTTCTTTGTGTCATAGATGAAAACAGCAACACGAATTCAACGAGCCAGGAGAGTGCAAGCGACGACGACGAGACTGTCAGTTATGGTGACGAGGACGTCGTTGGTGCATCTGGAAACAAATTTGTGAAGTGGATCCTCGACAATGTGAAAGCGAGGGTGGTGGCGCTGATCGAGAGCTTATCGGAGCTGGTGAACAAGGTGGCCGTGCCTCGTGGTGAAGATGGTGGTGGCCGTGTCGGGGAAGGAGCGGCGGGCATGGCATTTGAAGGGAAGGTTGTGACTTCGTTATTGTTATCTGTCGTTGTGATGCTGGTTGTGGTAGTGAGCCGATCCCAAAAGGCTTGATCTTCAAATTCGTCGATCAAACATAATGTTCTTTTTTTTTCTTGCTAAAGATCAATTATATCAGTTTATGTACTGCTATTATATTTTACATCAAAATTTATGTATCGTTATTAGCACCGGCGGATCCAGCGGTGGCCACCCCGGGCCCCGGCCCAGCCCTCCTCTGGATTCGGAGTTAGTTCTTTATGAATTTTTCGATTTTGGTTATTTGGCCAGTGTTATTTTATAATAAGATTCAGTGTAACTAGAAAAATGATTCAAATTAATATATTCAAATCACTACTATAAATTTAGCCTAAAAATTATAGCTCCAAAGATTATTCTTAAAAAAAAAACAATGAAAACTTAAATTCTAAAATTCTAAAACAAAAGACTATAAGAAATATTAGTTTTGTTCCCTGAAAATTTACCAAAGCAGCTAGTGGATATAGGTATGGACACACAATGCACGATTGATTTGTCTAGCGTTGACGCTGCTCGTATCACCAATTACTACGGGGAGAACCTTTTCAACAATGAAACATATGAAAACTGATTTGTGCAACAAAACGAGCGATGAATTTCTCGCTGATTGCTCAAGTATTTTATTTAAAACACCGTATATTATTGGTATGGATGTGGACTCTATTATTGATGTATTCGCTAAATTAAAATACCATTGTGTACAACTTATATTGTAAAAAAAACTATAGTATTTTTTTTACGGTTCTAATTTTCTAATGAAATGCGACCCAATGCTTTTCTGTGTTCGTGGATCCGCCGTCATTCGTTTAATCTGTCTTTTCCGCTCGAGAATATATTACCACCTTTTGATATCGAGTTTTGTTTGTTAAGATACTGTAGCAATTGAATTGTAACAACCTTTTCCAAACAACTAGCTAGATATTTTTGTTTGGATGTGTGAAAGACTTGAGAGTATTACCCTATTAGAATCTGCTCTTCTTAGATTTCTTGAGAAAGTCTGTTTCCAAACACGGTCTAAAATAAAAAGCCCAAACACGGCCCAACCCTTGGATGGCAAGCCAATACTCTACGGCCCTGAAACTTGAACTGAAGAGAATAAATTAAGCGACAGACCTGGTCCACTGCCGTTTTATCTAAGGAATTATTGGAACATTGTTACTGAGAGCTGACATTGATATATGAAACTCATCAGAGCCTATATTACCCACAGAAGGATGCAAAGGATAGCAAAATTTATGGCTGTTTGCTAGTGTTCTGTTCTGCCACACTAATCTAATACTGGGTTGTGTTACATTCGCTGTCACCAATAACGCTCTGCACATACATTGCTAACTGTACAAACAAACAACTCTGGGCAAACTCTATCTAATCCAAGTTAATCACAGAATCCAAGATCGAACCTACATCGAAAGACACGACAGCATGTTTTTCAATCTCCCCGAGATCACTACATTGTTTTGTCTCGGTGTTGACTGCCATGACTTGTTGATGGAATGTGCAATCTGAACCTTGTGCAACCTGCAGAATTTGTTCATCAGGCATATTTTATCAGTGAGCTCAAGCGTGGATCCAGTGGGTATAGTACGCGAAAAAAAGGGGTTATATCGAGACACAACTTACATCGTACAGAACGTCTCCTATCTTAAACTTGACAGCTCCACTCTTGTAGACCACCATTTTGCCCATGTATCCCTCAGGCAACTGTGATAGACAGTTGGAGCTCTGTGATTGGCTTGAGCTGCTGCTGTTCCTGATACTTCCAACCTTTTCTTTCCCTTTTGTGCTACTAATTGACCGGTTAATGTAGGGCATCTTGGGAGGGAACTTGAAGAGAAGCATCTTTGCTTCATCAGATTTCTCCTGTCATCATCATAATCATCATTTCGACAACATATGAATTCACAAATCCGACGAGGAACACTATTTCAATCCACAATGATATTCATATTCACTTTAGGCTTACCGATAAACCAAGTTCTGCAGCATGTTTGATGGAGTTCTCATCGTACTCCGAGTTCATTGCAGCCTTCCCAAACTCTTCCTCGTTAAGAACATCTGGCAACACGGTAGCAGCAAAACTAACTTTAAACTGTAGCAAGAACATATCAAGACTGGAACTTCTGTTGACAGACAACAACAAACGTGTATCTACATACCTGGTTCACCGGAGAAAGGCTGCCTCAGAGGAAGAGTAATAGGATAGTAACTCTCATAGTCCTGCATACACAAAAAGATCAGGAGGTCTAATTTCCCCCCATAAGAATAGACCAGAAGACAGAACAATACACATTGAATCTCGGTCTTACAAATGGTTCTTTATACTTCTTCCTGGTTCGCTGACGAATAGGATGAACAGCACCATGACCTCCTCCTTCATCCTTACCATCGATTTGCATAGCATCAGGATCCGAATCCCATCCAGCTGCTGATGCCTTGGCATTGCTAGTCTCCGCCTTAGGGAAACCAAATTTCCTAGTCGATAGCGACCTTGAAGCTCCAGAACCAAATGTCACTTCAACTGGAGCAGCTGCATATATAATAGCAACACACCATCATACATTCATGATTCATACTAGACCACAAAAGTCTCCTGCAGAAAATCAGAACATTGAGGTTAAAGATGACAACTTCAACTACCTTTCTTGTCAGCTCTAGTAGCCCGTCTCTTGATATTCTCCTGCAACAATGAAAACCCACCCAAAATAACTTGAGATGGGTTCTAGTCGAGCTACAAACAAGAAGTTAGGGATTCACTTGTTCTTTTACTTGGTAGTAGCAATTCGGACCAAAATGTTTGGAACTTCAATAGAAAAATACTCTGCCAATCATCATATGCCATGTCTGGCAGCAAAGGTGGTATACTAATCCCTACTTAATGAACTGGTAGCATCACCCTCTTTTAAAAGAAGAAGATTAAGGAGGGAATTAAACGCGGTTTAAGGTCCAACCGAGTCTTAGCATTTGACCCGAACCCCAAACGGAACGGAAGCGGGAAGTGGTAAACACTAAACAGATATTAACCGCCAAAGTTTAAGAGATAATTTTCGTAATTGAGAAAGGAATGGGAAGTGGCTTACGTTGAATCTGGTCATCAGCTTCTGAGCTTTCGCAGCTTCGTCTTCGTTGCTGCCATCGTAGCTGCATTTCGTTCGCTCAAAAGAAAAATGGAAAATCAGAAATTTGAACACTGACAATTCAGATTGTCGGTAACGAGGAGGGAGGAAAGGAAGGGCATTACGGTTTGGGGGCGGAGAGGCGGGGCTTCCTCTGGGAAGCGGACTTGGGGGCGAACTTCAGCTGCAGGAGGGAATGAAAGTGATGCAAGTGAGAAATTTTCAGATCTAATAAACCGCTGGCTTGAAAAACTCGAGGAGTTTCTTTCCGGGATAGATTGAGAAATTTGATGGCAGAGTTGGCCGGAGCGTACCTTCTTGCGATTGGCCGGAGGGTCGTCGTGATCCATGGCGGTGGAATTTCGGTCGGAAGGCAAAAGATATCGCGGCGGAGAAAAATGGAACTGTTAGGGATCGAACCTGTGATCTCTGGATTGAGGAAAACAACTAGTGCAATCGGAGCTACTTTAGAACTTTGTCAAGCTCTAGACAGTTATAGTACTTATTTCAATAGCTTGTGTGTCCAGCAACAACAACATCTATAGGTAGAAGGTTTTTTTTTGAACTTTTCCCCATATCTCAATCATGGTAAAAGAAACCATACCAGACATCATACCGGATTCCTTTCTGGTAGGGTATTTTGTGGTTCAACCGTTTCGTACCGGCGGTAAATACCGTTTTTGTAATAATAAAATATATATTTTTGTCAAAAAACCGTGTCGGCAAAATCAGAGTACCGTCTCGGAGTAATACCGGATGTATCGGGATATACCGGACAATAAATGAAAAAATACAAGTAGTTAGCAAATTAATAGAAAAAAGAAGAAATTTTTAACAATAATTATTTTTTTATAAAAAACTTTCCCATCATTTAATAGGTTACTGATCCTCCACCCTTCCCCATCTTCCATTCTCTCTCTCTCTCTCTCTCTCTCTCACATATCGTCACCATGACCAAACTGGTTGCAAAATGCAAACCCAATCTCACTCCCACCCCCGCGCTCAAAGCCAAATCAAAGGCAGTCCCTAATTGATCTCTCCAATCGTGCGTCGTGGGTCTCCAGTCGCCACTCTCCACTCGCAGAGGAGAAGAGAAGAGGAGCGACGGCGCGGCGGCACGACGGAGCGGTGGAGCAGGCAGACTGGCAGAGCAGGCAGGCGGCGTTCAGGTCTGGATGGAGAAAGGAGGAGCGGTAGGTGAAGTGAAATATGAAGATCGAAGGCCGAAGCTTGATTAGGGTTAGCAGTGTCCATTAATTTTTTTTTTCAATTTTGTCTTCTTCAAACGACGACGTTTAGTAAATTTTCCTTACTGCCGGTCTGATTTAAATCGGGGGATACCGAAATATGCTGGTTACGCCAATTATACCGACCGACACGGTAGAAAAGGGCTGGTAGGGGTGTCGTTTCGTCATTGGCCTGATTGCCGGTTTTACCGGTTGAACCGGCTGGTACAATCCGGTTTCCTTTACCATGATCTCAATTCGAATATTGTAATGTGATGGATCATTTGTTTCAGAAGTTTTGTAAGAAAATTGTACGTGAAAGAAAATAATTTAATGCTAACTTTTCCTAAGTATATACTTGATAAAATAGCTAGCTCCTACTCCTAGTCTGTGTTATGAGAATCCAACTAAAAGGGTTGGTCGGACTAGTGAAGTAGCCATCAATTTCAGTAACGGATCACTTGATTTGTTTGAATGGTTAACAATATTCCAGGTGGCTCGTTGCCAAATGACCAAAATCTCTCTAATCTAAGTGATTTTAATAAAAAAAAATACGGGAATTTAAATTTTGTATGATACACAAAAATCTGAAATTCTAACCTAGTTTTACTTTTGTACTTCCTCTTACGTTCGTTTCCTATTTGCCTTCTTTGCTTCTTCTTTATTTCCACGCTTGCCTCTTCGTCCTATGCTAGTTACTATTACATGGACGGTTCTAACAATTAGTCATTGAGAGACAGATGCAAGTAGAGGTGGCAATTAAGATCCAAATCCATGAATCCAATCCAATCCATCCACCAAATTATCCACCTAATACAATCCGTTTAAATCAAATTCATTTGATCCAAATCCAATTGGATTGGTGGATTCATGGATCAATCAATGGATCCAAATGACAAATTACGATTTGGTACCTATATTTTTATATTTTATATTTTAGTACCTAAAATTTATATTTTATACGCAAAATCTCATTGGAAAACTACATTTTGGTACCTAAAATTTTTCATTATGGCAATTTAGCACCAAAACTTTTCAAATTTTATAATTTGGTCTAAGCCTTGGATGTCATTTGGATTCATGAATCAATCTACCAACCATTTGATCCAATCCATGAATCCACCAATCCATTGGATCCAATCCATTTGATCCATGGATTCACCAATCCAATCCACGAATCCACGAATCCGATCCAATTGCCACCTCTAGATGCAAGTAACAATCCAGAGAGCTGAATCGAAAGGGGTTTTAGTGAAACCATATAACTTTGAAAATAGTTTGACAAGGCCTAGGCAAGATAAAGTGTCATGGTCAAAACTGGTCCGAAAAGGAAGCCCCATTCCCAGGAAGCCTACGTTGTTGATACTGATTAGTCATTAAATCATGTATCACCAATTTTTCTAGTTAGAAATTAGATTCGATTCTTAAAAACGAACTCTTAATCTGTTGTGTTATCACAGGCACACTAAGGGGTCGTTTGGATTGAGTATTTGGGGGTGTTATTTGAGGTCAAATAACACAAAATCTGTTATTTAACCCCAAATAACATGTTTGGCTGACAAAAAGTGGGATGTGTTATTTGGATGTAGTGTTTTGTCAAATAACAGGTTTGAGACCAAATAACACAAAAAGTGTTGTTTGCCAAATACTTGGGAGGGGGCAGGTATTTGCCAAATAACAAGTTTGAGACCAAGTATCACATACCAAATAACAAGTTTTATATTATGTGGTATTTGTGTGGTAATTGGCCCCAAACAACAAGTTTGTCAAATACTCAATCCAAACGACCCCTAAAGTTTATGTACTTGTCGAACTATGCACTGTCAATTTCCGTATGGTTTATTTTCCTCCCCTAGTTAGTATCATCCTCATGATTCACCTAGTATACTTGTGTAGTTACTAGAGGTGGCAATTTCAATCCAATCCACCAATCCAATCCATCAATCCATTAAAAATATCCAACTAATCCAATCCATTTTATCCAAATCCAATTGGATTGGTGGAATCATGGATTGGATCCATGGATCATTGGCAAATTACGATTTAATACCTATAATTTTTATTTTTTACATTTTGGTACCTAAAATTTAATTTTTATACGAAAAATATCATTGGAAAATTACGTTTTGGTACCTAAAAATTTTCATTATGATATTTTAGTACCTAAACTTTTTACATTTTACATATTGGTCCTTGGTTGAAGATGTCATTTGGAATCATGGATAATCCACCAATCCACTTGATCCAATCCATTAATCCACCAATCCATTTGATCCATGGATCCACTACCAATCCAATCCACCAATCCAATCCATTTACCACCTCTAGTAGTTACGCTTTCTCGTCGATCGAGTTGAAGTAGTTCGACAAGGGAGAACAAATCAAGCATACGACTCGATGTTATCATAAACACTAACTCGGTCGGTCACAAGGTAGCAATAGCTACCAAGGCCAATCCGAACACAAGCACCAGAGGCATAAACGCAATCAAACACACAGAAGCAAATGAGAAACCAAACAAATCAAGGGCACATATGCTACCGAGTTCACGTTCCAGCAAAAAGGCAGTACCAAACCCTTGAACAGTAGGGCTATTTCATAACTCGATTAAGATCGTAGGACGACAATTCAAAATGAAGAACACACATTTACAGCAGTTCCAGTTCACAGTGATCATCCTATTTTATAAGTGCCACCAATGTCATTTACCGTGTTCCATTGGAGAAAAGGAACCCTAACTCTCCTTGACAACACATTTCGCGAATAACACTAATAGCCGATAGCCAACCCCAGAATCTCCTTTGACAAAGTTCAGAGAGAGTCTTTGCTGGCAACAAATTACCTCACCCGTTTTCAACAATTCCTGACCAGCTCACATATACAAGGGGTTAGAACAGAGGGTCAGAAAATATCAAGAAGAAAAAAACGCAATGACCCAATGTTTTCCCAAGCTGCATCATCTTCTTTGCCGGCTGAATCCACTGAGAAAGGACCTGCAACTCGAGGTTAAGTTACCCCCGACTAGAAAAAGAGCTTTAAGCTCTGCCCAAAAGAACTTGATCACTAGTCACTACCCTAAACAAACACCTAATTCATCTAACACATTTCAGGAGAATGCACCAGACAATGAGTTCCAGTATAACACACACCACAAACACCCCTGTAGCAGTGTCATTTGAACCTACCGAAATCAGAATCACCTCAACATTCCGGTAAGAAATCGTCAGTGTAGATTGAAAGAAAGTACCATGCAAAGGTAGCGCATCATGACCAAATATAACATGAAGACATAGATATATATATATATATATATATCAGTAGCAGCAGCAGCTTCTCCAACCTACCCAAAATGCCTTCACATTCCAGGGAATGCTTATATACCTTCGACTGCCTCGAAGGAATGCAAAGCCCAAGAAAAGTTGGGAGCAGTAAGAAAACAAAATATTGAGAGCTTAACACAGGAAGTATGACACAGATCAGAGTCCAAATGAAAACAACCTGTAGGACACAAACACAACAGTAGGATACCTGTCTCCAATTTCCATAATAATTTTGAAATGAGGCACTAAGGGAAAGATTAGCAAATGAAAACATAATATCAAAGCACCATTATCCACTAGAATATAACGATTAAGTCCTACAAAAACAGTGAGGAACATCAACAAAACTCCGATGGGTCCCTGATATGGGAGGCTGTGGATTGAACTAGCAGCCCAAATCTCTGCAAATGTCATAACAGTACAGCAAGGTTAAAGATGTGAGTCCCAAACGTCAAAGTCATGGCAAGATGTAAGAAATCAGGTTGCTCCAAGAAACATCAGGCCTGAAAAAAATTATCCAATAACGACAAAAGCAAATGGTTAAGAAGTGTAAAAAGAAAGAACATTGCATGAAATGTTATGACGATATAATCATATAGTGATATATGTGACCGAGAGGAATAAGCAGATATGAAGGTGCATTATGATTTATCATGCTAACAGAATGTGTAACTAAGTTTTCTAACATTAACCGAAAATTCACCGATTCTCAGTTGTACACTAAACTCATAAAATAAAAGTCATGAGCTCCCTTTAAGCATCAATAGTACGGTCAATTGAGAGTCCAAGTCTAACAGAAGCATAAAAACTTTATAGTACAAACATTGTGCAAACCAAGTCAATGTGAAGCATCTCAATTCTCAATCTCTTCACTGACAGAGGCACTATGACAACCACTAAATACTACCACAAAACTTCAGAGAATTTTATTTTTTCCTCTTTTGAAAGTAGAGGAATGGAGAAGTTGAAATTTAATCAGTTACACTAATTGGGACACCACTATAACTATAAGAAGACAGGTGTTTGTACTGCAGTTGTACAAAAAAAAAAAAAAAGGGGGAATTTTAACTTGAGAGTTAAATGATAACTAGGTTAACTCCATGTCTTGTCTACTTTCTGCAATCATTTGGAGGGTCAGAAAAGTGTGATTCTACCTCCAAGTGACTAGTTATCAGGTACATGCACTGATGCACATGTTTTAATTTTAATACACATAAAATTACAGACGAGAACATACCTCTTGACAAATAGGTACCAGGAACACAAAAAGACCCATCATTTCATCTCTGCCATGAACTTTTCATACTCAGCATCAGCTCCATAGTTCGTTTTCTCTCCAGTGGAAGCTCCTGGAAGTGGTGGTTGTGGTGGATTCGGTGCCCAAGGTAAATTGCTCATCCCCTGGGAGTGATCAGTTGTTGGCATAGGCGCAGCCGGAGGAGGAGGAACTGCACTATAGTATGATGAGTAACCTAGAGAAGCAGTTGCGTAAACTGGTTGCATTGGTGGACCATTCCCATAGATGTTAGATGATGCAGGTGGCGGAGCAGAAGTGTGGTTCTCCGATGGGACACCAGGTGGGTAACTTTGTTGAGCTTCAGAAGTCACAGTTGGACCAGGAGCACCGGGAGCCGGAGGCACCGGTGGAGGATATTGCATGCCATAAGGTGCCATTGGGTGTCCAGGAGGAGGTGGAGGAGGAGGATACATGTGTGAACCAGGAGGAGGTGGAGGATAATGAGCATAGGGAGACGGAACAGGTGGTCCCCAAGGAACAGGAGGCCCTCCATAGCTTGGATGAGGAGCAGCATAGTTTCCTGGAGGAGCAGGTGGAAGAGGACCACCAGGGGTGAACTGCTGGGATGGATAGGCACCAACTGGTTGACTTGAGACAGGGTATGTGGGCATACTGGATGCAGGAGGGCCAGGAGGAACACTAGGCTGAGGAGGCTTACCTGCAACCCTCACAGCAATGGTCCGACCTTCAACACGAGCTCCATTCATGCCAGTAGTTGCCGAATTAGCCATTTGAACATCACGATACTTGACAAAACCATACCCTTTACTCAACCCAGTAACCCGATCCTTGATTACCTTTGCCATTACAATCTCACCGTATGCAGAGAATAACTGGATCAAACGATCATCATCAAAAGTAGGAGGCAAGTAGCCAATGTAAAGATTGGTATCATCATATTCCTTCGTCGATTTACCATCACTGGCTCCTAGTCCAGCTTGATTCGCACTGCCAATACCGCCAGTGTTGCTAGCCCATGGAGGATTGCTTCCAGATCCACTTGACCCCAAAGCCAAGGTGGCAGTTTGTTTATTCGAGGACTCAGGCATAGTCCCACCCAGTTCCGCCAAGAAGTTTTGGTATTCATCGTCCATTTTCTTCCCAGTTGTTCCCTTAACAGGACAATCAATAGTAGGATGTCCACCATCACCACAAATCTTACAGAGCACATCACTCTTAAATGTTGTAGTCCGGGATGGACAAGCATACTGCCTGTGTCCAGGCTCACCACACAACCGGCAATACTCTTCATCCCTAATTGTCCCGTTCAAAGCAGCTAGTTCCCTAAGCTGCTGCCTCTTATGCTCATTCAGAACCTCATCAACCGGCTGCAACAGCTTCTCGACCATGCCAGCAGCAGCATCCAAGGCCTCCTGAGTATCTGCCTCAACCAAAACATGCAAATCTTCATTCTCAGACGGATCCGGCTTTAAATCCCTCTTCTGCTGCAACCTGCCCTCCTTCACCGACCCTTTCCCTCGAATTACAATCTTAGCACCGGTTTCCCTCTCCATTCTTTTCTGCGTGTTGCCTCTAGGTCCAATAATCAATCCAATAAAGTTATACCCTGGGTACTCCTTCATCGGGATGTAGAGCTTCTTGTGAAGCTTTGGGGGCCTGTAGTCAGCAGGAGGCTTAAACGCAGGATTCTTCTTGATGATCTGTGAAATGATCTCCTGCCTCTCTTTGTTCAACCTCTCCCTGGCCCTATACTCTCTAGTATTGATCCTAATTCCCATGTTATCATAAATTGGTTCAGGAGAAGGAGACCTAGCTCCTTCAGGTCTATCATCCAACGGCAAACCGGACTGAGACGTACCAGACTGTAACATCCTGCTAATCTCGAGGAGCCTAGCATTCAAAGCCTGGATTTCGGGGTCGAATTCAATACCTCCAGTGAAATCCTTCATAAAATCAGGGAGCTGAATCACAGGCTTGGGCTCATCATCCGCCCACCTCGACTTCCTCTTCCGAGTGCCACTCCCGGCTTCATTAGTATTATTGTTACTGCTACCGTTATTGCTCCCACCTCCATCCGCCGCCTGATTTCCCCCGCTGCCGTCCGGCTGCGGGTCCCAGCGGCTCCTCCGCTTGCGACGGCTCGTCGTCTCCTCTTCACCGCCGGAGAAGTCCCTGTCGCCGCTGTTGGTGTTGGCGAGGCCATTCTCGGATAGGAGAGGCTTGGTGAAGTCGAGCCTAGGCTTCGGGAACTCGATCTGGCCATTATTGCCTATGGCAGCGGGATACGCGTCGTGAGATTGGGGCGGGTTTTCAGGAGAAGGCGGCTCGGCAGTGTCCAGGGCCAGGTTTTCCGGCTGAGGGGAGGGATCTGAGAGATGGAACTGTGGGTTCGTAGCTTCCTCGACGACGGATTCCATGGAAGAAAGGAAGGGAGAAAGCAGAAGGAGCTAGGGTTTTTGGTGAGATTGCGGGATAGATTGTGTTGTGGCTTTGGGAAACGAATTTAGGAAATATCCCCACGCCCGTTCGCGGAACTCGTACTTGGTAAAAACTGTTTTCATTCCAGTTCCAAGTTCCAGATGTACGTTATATTTTCACTTTTCCACGTGCAACCAGAGAAAGGCGGTTAAGGTAGGTTATAGGCTTCAGATGAGTTTACATCCAGGCCCAATTCGACTGAAGGCTCAGCTTGTCAAACTGGTTTGTGCCAGTGTGTCGGTTTAGCAAGCGGAATGATTCGACCGGTGGTACATATCGGTTTGTGCCAGTTCATGCCGGTTAATATCATAAATAATTTACAAATACTCATATTTAAACACGACAAACATCAATATCTAAATATTTGTACTTGAATCCAACAAATAACATCAACATTTAACTTTTTAACACATAAAATAAATAATAAATTACTTTTTATCAATTAAATTCACTAAAATAAGATCGTTTTACTTGGAGATATATCGATCATGCCGGTCATACCGGTGATGTCATACCAATTTTATGATCGGTACAGGTTGAACCAGGTTGAACCTGGCGTAATCAAATTTCCCAAAGTTGCGCCATGAGCCGTCTCCGAATAGTGAAAATGCGCGGACGTTGCTCTCGATGAGCTCTTTCTTTTGCAATAAGAGTAGAAGAGCTTTCCTAGCCCCAAGCTACGAAATAACCTTCTCTGCAGTCTGCACCATATCAGTCAGCTTAAAGTATGTATTGTAAATCCCTCCGAAATTTCTTGAGAAAGTTTTTAAAAAGTGGTCATTGTCTATACAGTACTCCTTCACAAATATTCAAGATGAAGCTCATTAGGAAGTAACCAATGGCAGTTGGCTCATCATCCATGGCCACCGTAGGAGGATTAACCAGCAGGAGGGAGTGCAGTGTACGACAAGATCACCCCTTTCGTTGCTCTCTCTTGTATGATGGCCACCATGGTAGGTGTCATCTTCGCCCACGGCATTGGAATTTCAGGCGGAGTGACTTCAACGGAGTCGTTCTTGAAAAAAGTTCTTCCGCGAAGATGAAATAGGGTACCAAAATCAGCAATTATTACAAATTCGATAGCCAGCAGCAGCTCACTTCCTCCCTCTACGTTGCCGGCCTCGTCGCTTCCTTCTTCGCCTCTCTGTGATGGCCATGAATCATAAGCTGAAAGATTTCTGTACGAGAAAGTAAAGAACGCAAGACACGAGTTTTACGTGGTTCGTCCCATTCAATGTGAATTAGGCGCGCTTACTCCACGGAGAAGATTAGCTCTCTCAAGCTTTTATTCATTGTACGGCCGATTACAACGAAGAGATCAATATATACCCTATTCTCCATGGACTACTAGGGTTATGCGTGGGCTGATTTGAAAAAAGACTTTCTCGCCCTTACACTCTCATACAAACGACTACGTACAACGAAATCATCATCTTATACTCCCCCACAAGCCGAGGCATGAAGATTGCAAATGCCAGCTTGTATAATAACTCCTGAAATCGGTCACTGGTGAGCCCTTTAGTGAATAGATCGACAAGTTGATCATGGGATGAGATTTTCTGCAGATGAATTTCACTAGAGGTGACATGCTCTCTTACAAAATAATAGTCCATTTCCACGTGCTTCGTACGTTCGTGGAACACAGGGTTAGCTGCAATATGAATGGCAGCCTGATTATCACAATGGAGAACCGTTGGACCAGTAGAAGGAACTCCCAAATCGCAGAGAAGAGCTCGCAGCCAAAGAACTTCACTGACGATACTTGCCATGGCGCGATACTCGGCTTCCGCCGAAGAACGTGCAACGGCCCCTTGTTTCTTTGTCCGCCACGAGAACGGGGCATCACCCAATGTAACAAAATAGCCTGAGGTTGATGACTCACTCCTACTGTCACTCTAGAAAATGGTCAAGTGCAACCACTTCCTAAAGCGTAGTATAGCGGGTTTGGGTTTTAATGTCAACCCGGGTCCTAGATGTGATGACTACTCAGCGAATTCTTATTATCTAGCGGTGAAACTTTAGTGCAAGTTCAAACAAGCAAACAAGTAAATCAAGCAATTAAACGGTTGTTTTCAAGTCGAGAGAGGTCACCCGGATATGGTTCCCCCTAGACTGCAGTTAAGCCGGATTGCAATTTTCCAAGTTCAGTTTCTATGATAGTTATATAGCGGGAGGTTCTTAAACAGTATGAAATCTCGACTAAAGGTCTCCAAACCCTCTCAATCTGAGTCCCCAGCGGGCGACTAACCTCCACCGGAGTAAACAGATTGAGGCCCTAACGAACCAAACCTCCACTACCGAAGTAAATTCGGTACAGAATAGTGAATTGGCTCCTCGACTAAAGTCGCCAATTCACTACCTTCAATTAAGGGTGCTCTATTAACCTAGGCAGATATTCTCTTTCTAGGCTAAAGCAGAAATAACAGGAATTTGATCAGGATTCAAGTCATTCAATCATTCAAACCTCAATTGAATATAATCAAATCATAGAATCTGTACTTGGGTTCATACAATCAGACCTAACATACAAATCTAGGGTTCTTCATACCCAGATGAATGGGAAAACTACTCCATGGAGAGAGAAGCAAAAGCAGATTCAGATGCGGAAACCATACTGTGAAGGATGGGTTTCTGCTCCTGGTCGTCAATAGACACTTCTCCAAGCTCAAGTCAGGCTCCAATGGTGATGAAGATCAAGCTAGGGCACTTGGGAACTCTGGTTCGTCGCTTTCTCTCTCTAGGAATCGCTCTGTCTCTCTAAAACTCGGGACTCCTTCTCTTTTGGCTTAAATCTGCCTAAAAGGGCAACCCTGGGCAAAACACGGTTGAGGGCACGGCCGTGCTTTGCTGCTGCCCGCCCGTGCCCTTGCCACGTGTTAAAAACACGGCCACACCTTGGGGAAAACACGGTCGTGCCTAATGTTGGACACGACCGTGTTTTGAGTCAGTCCCGCCTGTGTTTTGGGCCAGCGCAGGACAATCTTGGATCAACCCTCGGCAGTAAAAACACGATCCAGGAACACGACTGTGCTCTGATTTAGGCGCGCCCGTGCTTTGGCTCCAGCTCGACCGAATGACTTCTGAATGCCCCAAAACTCGTGCTTAGCCTTTCATTCGACGCTTGGGACTTGAAATATGACAAAGTAGCACAACCCGGCTTAAAATAGGCCAAAATACACGATTACGCCCCACAAACGGATAAGAACTAGGGGTGCAAACATGTGCAATTACATCGTTATCAAATTCCCCCACACTTAACCGTTTGCTTGTCTCCAAGCAAACCTAACTCAAACCAATGCAACTCTCCAGACCTCAATAGCAACAAACAACCCCGATCGTCGGTAGAGGATTTTCTAGATCTTATAGCAGCTTACGAGGTCAACTGGTCTTCTAAGACGTTCCCTATCTCTCTCAATGCGAGTACTAGACTCAAGCCAGGATCATGAGAAGAAGTAGAAGTAAGACAGTCAGTTCATGGATAAAGGGACTCATGTCATTCTCAACCAATGACTCGTTGTACCGGGGTGCTCTTTTCACTTCATTTCACCGTTGGAACCCCTTTTTCACTTTCATTTTGCTTTTTTTTCTTTTTCATTCACTTGGCGGGGGGTTCCAACTGCAGTCTCTTACACGGTCGACCCTTATTAGTCGAGCAAGAGCAAATTTGTACATCTGGCGCTCGCCAGAGTACTTCTTTTAACTCCTTTTCCTCAACTCGTGTGGAGGGTCAATGAAATTAAGTGGGGTCGGAAGCTCTATCCGTGGCCTTAAAAACACATCCTCAAGTAGGCAAACCGTTCAACGGATGGAAGTTTTACTTGTACTAGAGACAACTTAGCTTCACCTTGTAGGAGTACCCCACTAAGGATCACTAAAATCTCTTCCAAAACCCGATTTGGTGCAATGAACGGTGCCGCACACGTTGGGCTTACCCCATGTTTAAGATTTTGATGATTTTGACATGGAGGACCAACTGCATTTTTCATTTTCCACATGAACACCCTGTTCGATACACGAGTCCATAACACAATCCACATAGAGTCACCATTACCACATGAATTCAACGGTCCTAGCTCCACTAATTCACAAAATCAACTGGCACAACAGAGAGCTAGATAGGAAAAATCTTATACTTCAACATCCTCCATAGTGCTACACTACCTCCCTAGGTTGCACATTACTATATGGACTGTCAATTCAAAGCATACTGAGCAGGCAATTTGCAAGGAAACACGTACTTGGAGCCCTCAAATTTAAAAATTTGGAGAGTGGACTAGGCTCCAAGCACACAAACAGATCTAATGCAGTCAAAAGAGAAACATCCCCCCCACACTTAAGATCGACATTGCCCTCAATGGAGAAGAGGGAAAGATAAGGGGAACGATGTTACCGGTGTGCACGGACTACATGAGACTGGAAGTGGACCAGTCTGAGCGAAGAGGACTGGAGAGGGGACCAGTCAGGGGCAAAGCACAGCTAAAGGGAACAGAAGAACTCAAACACAATATGTTAGGTCCAATGGTCAGCCCAATAATATATCATCCAAAACAAAAGAAAACAAACCAAAACCAAACCAGTTTACAATCCGACTCAAAACAAAAGAAATAAATGAAAACCGTGGTGGGGTTGCCTCCCCACAAGCGCTTCTTTACCGTCTTTTAGCTGGACGCCCATGATGGATACTCAGCGGGGTGCAGGAGCAGGTGCCTCCAAGAGCGGATCCACATCGCTCTTGAGGTACAACTTCAAATTGCGGCCATGCACCCGACGGGTGCGACCACCAGCATTGGTCAGCTCGACCTGGCCATCCGGCAAGATGCAGGCGAGGGAGTACTCGGATGGCCAGGGTGGTCGTGGTGCAGGAGGTGGGACCAGCTCATAGTGGTCTCCACCTTTCTTCCGAGCACGCTTAGCCACCTGCGGCTTCGGGCACCACTTCTCATTGAGCTTTTTATTGGGAAGTGAGGTTGCCGGGAGTGGCGGCGAAGGTGTGAGAGGTGGGTCCTACAAAACGAGATGCACAGGGGGGTACACGACAGGCTCGTGTACCTGGTGAGAAATAGCATGCATAGGTGTGACAGCAGGCATATCACAATGATGAAGGCCAGCCACGGAAAAAGTAGCCTGTTTATTCCCAGCACGCA